ACACACGTTCTTAAAAAAAATTCCCAAAATACATAAGTTATAAAAAAAATTCCCAAAGTACACATGTTTGGCATTCACCGTTTTTTACAAACGCAGTGATGGTGTTCACCGCGTTTGTCAAAGACGGTGAATATTTCACCGTTTAAAACCAAAACGGTGAAGTATTCACCGCCTTTATCTAAAACGGTGATGTATTCACCGCGTTTGGCGAGGACGGTGAATACATCACCGTTTTAGTTGACAACGGTGAATGTATTCACCGTTGTTGGGTAACGCGGTGATTGTTTCCCACGTTTCCCACCCCTGGTAGGTCAAAATTAGGTCACACCGACCTATTATTCACCGTTTGAGACAAACACGGTGATTGTGTTCACCGTTTTTGACAAAAACGGTGAATAGTAGGCAGATTTTCCTATAAATACCAGCCCACCAGCAGAAGTAAAAACATAACCACTCCCCCCTTCTTCAAATTTCAGCAACAAAAATCGAGCATAATACACAGAACATACATTTTTCGGTATGTTGAGACTTTTCGTATTATAGTCTAATTATGTTTTTAGTAGTTATAGTATGATTAAATTTTCGTATTATGTTGTTGTTAGTTAGTTGAATTTATGTTCGTTAGTTATAGTATGATTTAATTTTCGTATTATGTTGTTGTTAGTTAGTTGAATTTATGTTCGTTAGTTATGAGATGGATAATATTAGTTGTACAATATGATTTTGGTTAATTTTACTGTCTTTAAGCTAATAGATACTTATCCTCGATTTGTAGATATGGGTAAATTCAAGAAGTTTCATCTTACTATTCGGTGGAATGGAAGGGTGACAAACTCTGACATAGGCATTGATTATGAGGACGGCGAATCCATTATGCTGAAAATTGATTCCCGATTCAATTTTCAAGAACTCTGTGATCTTTGTGCAGAAAGGGTTTGTACGAGCGGACAGACGAGACTTGGCAAAATTACTTACCGGTATCCAGACATGAGTGCTGGCGGGGTCGTGTTCCAAGAAGTTGTCATAAACGATGATGACGCGGTTACGATGATGTTACAGTTCCTAAGCGATAACCAAGTCCGGCTTGTAGAGGTGTATGTTGAGACCGAGGCGGTCGGTGAATCTCATTCTCACCAGTATTCTTATGATGATGGTTTTGCAGGAAGGTACGAATGGGTGGTAGTTCGAGCAACTACCAAGGCGGTGGTTATACAGGAGGTTACGGGGAGGGTGGTGGTTCAATCAACTACAGTGGATCGAGTAGTGCAGGATGGGACAAATACTCGCAACCTCCTCAACTAGCCGATGGTGTTGAATGGCCTGCTTGGGGGCCAGAGTGGTCTGAAATCGAGAATAACATTCGATCAGGGCGTACTTCACATGAGCGAGAGGACGATGTTGGTGATCGTGGTCATGTTGATCCTTCTAGCCCGAGCTATCCATTCGAGTCGAGCGACGAGGATACTGAGGAAGATTTGAGATCAGTGAGCGAGGAGGAGGAAGATACTGATGATAACGAGGATGAGGCGGCATTTCGTGAGGCACCCACGCCATATTACACACAGGTTCCAACTCAATTTTTACATAGTCAGAATGATCCCCCTGACTTTGTCCCTATGCCAGTGTACAATCTGACGGCCAATTTGGAGGTGGGTATGGCGTTCACATCGAAAGACGCTGTGCATGATGCTTTTACAGAAGAGGCGTTGAGACGCAATTTCGAGTGGAAGGTAAAATATTCTGACAGTAAACAACTACATGTCATATGCAAGCATGATGCAGAGGGTTGTACGTGGCAACTGCGGGCTGCAAATATGAAGAGAAAGGGTGCTTGGGTGATTCGCAAAGCTGAGACGATCCACACATGCTCCTCTTCTATACTTTCCCAAGATCACAGGCAACTAAAAGCAAAGAAAGTTGGGAGAACTATTAAGCACCTTATAGAAGCACAACCAGATATCAAGGTGAAAGCTATCATGGCAGAGGTGAAGGATCGACATTCTCTGGTACAACTCAGGAGGTTGTTCATAAGTCGGGTCAACCAAGTAGTCTTCCGCTCATCCATGGTTGGAGCACTTTCGAGAGTGTACTTGGCGTGTTCCAAACCATCAACCTAAGGAAAGCACGCCACATATCAAATTAACTAAACCTTAAAATAAATAGATTTTTGAATGAGGGAGATTAGGATGACTTACCAACGACCCCATCACAGCACCTTGCTTTGACACCCATCTCATGGTGAACTTCCGATACCACTGCATGTACCCATCGTGGTAGCCCATCGGTCTCGTCTCCGGCATCCCTTGGACCACCCATTGGGACCGATTCTCCCAGATGTTGATGTAGAATCCATGCTTTAGCACCCAGTTCTTTGCAGTGTGTCGGAGGTCCATAACATGTAGCTCCCTGAAACCGGCTGGCGGGTCTTGTGGAATTGGTTGCTCCATTCGATATTGCCTCAGAGATCGATCGGGTAGGTGCCATTCCACCATGTGCCAGCAGATCAATGGCACCTTGCACAACCACGTCTCGTGATCCAGAGGGTGCCTAAGATGATGCAGCTCACCCACTTCACGTGGATATGGATCCCATATAACCTATATTCATTCAAAAATTCGGAATTAATGACCATTTACATTGACAAAATTTAACTTGTTCAAAAATGGACAAAATATGATTACCCGATTCCACCATGGTTTATCTAACTCAGAACGATAAAACAATAACGAATGCTCAGGTTGATGGTCATTCGTATTTGCTCCTATCCACCTTGTAAGTAAAAGTACGGATTCAATTTAGTTGAAATATAGCTAAGCATATAATAAATTAAATTGGTCTAAGTACGTAATAAATAAAATTTAAATCTAGCTAAGCATGCAATCAAAATTAAATTGGGCTAAGTACGGAATAAATTCAATTTAAATCTAGCTAAGCATGCAAGCAATCAAAATTAAATTGGGCTATGTACGGAATAAATTCAATTTAAATCTAGCTAAGTACACAATCAAAATTAAATTGGGCTAAGTACGAAATAAACTTACTTGACACCGTAGGGGAGATTTTGCAGAAAGTTGAGTTCATCATCGTTTCTCCGGTATGGACGTGGGTCGATAGGTGCGAACATCGGGAGATGCTCCCATACCCACAGTTGCAGGATGAACATCGCAGCACCAGCTTGCTTTGCCCCAACCTTCGAGCAAGTACACAGCTCCCGGTATACGCCCGCTAGCACGGTCGATCCCCAACTCTTCTCTCCAATTGCATCCCAGTCACCAGTGAGCAATGGCAACCATATGCCTTGAATCCACCGGTTGGACTTGTCGGGGAACAAAAATCCACCCACCAAACCGATGAGGTAGATGCGGGCGTAGCGCTCGACTTGTTCTTCCGGTGTCTCGTCATTGATTTCCACCTCTTGCTGGATGTGAGATACCAGCCACGGGACCGACACTTGCCCCGCATTCAACGGTGGATGCCCCCGTCCTTGAATTGGTGTGGTGGTCGGCATGTCGAAGCCCAAACGATCACGTATGAGCGGCCCCAACCTCCTTCGGGTTTGGTCGTGGAACCAATGATTGCATCTCCAGAAATAGGAAGCCCGGTGAGGATCGCCACGTCTTCGAGGGTGATCGTCATTTCCCCCTCCGGAAGGTGGAATGTATGGGTTTCGGGACGCCATCGTTCCGCCATGATCGTTGTCGATCTCGATCCGCAAGAAATGGCGCAACATTCCCAAACCGGTCCTCGCTATGTAGGGCTCCAACCTGGGATGCCAAGCGGGCAAGTTATTGGTCCCTTTATGAACCACGGGAACAAGCGATTCCTAAAACAAATAGGGAAAACAACAATTTATTAGATTAAATAAAGCAAAATAAAACCTTAGAAAATAATAAAATAAAGCAAGAATACTCAAAAAATTACCGGATAGTTATCCCAAATAGCACGGGAGCGATGAGATTCTTGATCGGTTAAGAGACTCGCATCCCTTGGGCCATAATGGATATACAATCGAGGATCGTATATCTCGGCACCCATCTATAAAAAAGTAATGAAATCAGAGATTGTTTTGATAAAAAAAACAAAAAATCAAATTGTTTCGATTAAAAAAAATTCATAAACCAAAAACCTACACGAAGAGCCTCTTCGTCCATTTTTTGGCGTAGGCCGGACAGAGGTTCGACGATTTTAGGTTTGTAAGGGACGGGAACTTAGCGGGACGGGGGCTTTAGGGTCAAACTCTAGTAATTCTTTCTGATGTGGAAGATCGGACTTAGCCGCAACCACAGAGCATACTTAGAACGAGACTAGAGCGGATAAATTGAGGGAGAAAGAAGTGAAATGTTGGTGGGGTGAGTTGAAAGTGAAAGGGGGAGGGGGTATTTATAGTTGGGGGAAGGGGGGAGGAGCTGCGCAGTAATTAGGGGAAGGGTTCACCGCGTTTGATGAACGCGGTGAAGGCTTCGCGTTCCCCTAAAACGGTTCCCCCGTCCACGTGGCCTGCTGTGAGGCGTCGGATCGTGGGAAGAAAACCACGATCCGCGCCTCACCGCATCTAACGGCCACGGTGAAAACACAATGGCGCGGATCGCTGACGTAAACAAACACGGGGTATTCACCGTGTTTGTCTACCGCGGTGAATGCCCCGCGTTTGTCCACGTCAGCGCCTTCACCGCGTTAATTTAAAACGGTGAAGATATCACCGTTTTAGTTTCCTTTTAAAACGGTGATGCATTCACCGTTTTTAACTAAGACGGTGAAGCTATCACCGTTTTAGTTTTAGTTAAAAACGGTGAATGCAAACATGTGTACTTTTGGAATTTTTTTTATAACTTATGTATTTTGGGAATTTTTTTTAAGAACGTGTGTACTTTGGGATTTTTTCCCACCTTTGGAAACAGAGGAATGAAGAAGTCTTGGACGGAAAGAACTACTCGGAACATGGACTTCTTTGCAGGATTAAAGCTTGGTTTTGCATTGTTCAAAATGCCCATATCTTCTGGATGAGCACAACGAATGAACCCAGAGGAGAGCTTCGAACGAGACAGATCGCTTGGAAGCCACCACTCGCTGATTGGATACAAATCCAAAGTGATGGATCAGTTCACCATGATTCAGGAAAGGCGGCTGCAGGTGGCCTCTTCCGGGACCATCTTGGCAGATGTCATCGAGCATTTGTCTGTAACCTGGGGAGCTGCTCGATTACGTCTGCGGAGCTGAAAGGTGCAATGGAGGGCCTGAAAATTGCATGGGACGAAGGCTATAGGAAGATTGAGCTCAATTTGGACTCGGAGACGGCTATCTCGATCATCAACAACCATCTGGATGATGAACACAGACATGGACAAGCTGCTGTTCAATTTAGGAACCTTTTGGACCGGGATTGGGAGATCAAAATCTCTCATGTGTATAGAGAGTCGAATTGTGCTGCTGACTACCTTGCTAATGCAGGGCACACCTCCCCTTTTGGCACACATTCTTTCGATGTGTGCGACCCGGGGCTTAGATATTGGCTTCACTACGATGTAATGGGCATTGCCCAAGAACGTTCTTTTAATCTAATGCACTAGACGCATCGCGTCAACCTTTCAACCAAAAAAAAAGAAAAGTAATCAACTTAAAAGACAAGTAGTAATAAAAAAGTAATGTTGTTGGGTATTGAACCCACAACCTCCTATATAACAAAAGACCACTTATCCGCTGGGCTAAAGTAACCAGTTCAACAATCAAACTGCACAATACAAGTATATATATATGTATCTGAATTAATACGTAACTTCAAATTCTCGTCGTATTTTAACACGATCTTCAAAATTCTCGGGGGGGCCGGGGCCCCCCGAGTCCCAATGTAGCTCCGCCCCTGACAGCATCACATTCCTACAAAAAATAACCCTTTTCATATAACCGGGTTAAATCGGATTAAAATGATCGACCCATTAGTCCTCCACCCATCTGCTCAACCTACTAAACGGGCTAAATCTGTTGACAACCTTGCTGAGCAACTGAACCCTAACGAGTTCGGTGTCAACGACCAACGAGAATAAGTAGCTTCTCTTTCTCTTCACTCACGTTTCCGTCCACATTTCAAAACAGAATATTATTGCCTCGACCGTTTCATCCCTCCAGATTTTCCTCCATAAAAAGGAGACAAGAATCCCTCTCAGTTTTCTCTTACCCCCGACCAGGAAAATCATATCCAATGCTCTGGCGCTGAGTCCGACGGGCATTCGGTTTTCCAATTTGGCAATGGTAGGGATGCTGAGCTCCGCGTTGAGGGAGCGCTTGGCGAGCCTCGTGGACTCGGTGAAGTCCGCCGCGGATATTCCAGCGAAGCTTGACCGGTTGCGGCAGCTAGGGGAGATTTTGCTGGAAGCAGGAGATGCTGGCTCGCTCTCCGAGTTCATCCCGAGTTTGTTCGATTTGCAATGTGATCAGGACTCTCCTGTTCGGAAATGTGCTACCGAGTAAGGAGATTTTCCTAAAACCCTAATTCCAAATTCAATTTCCCCAGTTGCCGGATGTCTTACTTTTGGTGCTTTCTTCCCTTTTTTTGCTGGGTGTATAGGATCATTGGAGAACTTGGATTGAAGCACTTGGTATTCATTCCTGAAATCGTTCCCGTCTTGATGACACTATCCGAAGATAGTGTCCCAGCTGTGGCTAGACAAGCAATCACTTGCGGAACTCGATTGTTCCGCGCTACTCTCATAAAAATTGCACTTCAGGTGGAGTCTTTAACTTAGAATAGAACTTTGATTCAGGGTAGTATTCCATTGCTTTTATCTTTGCAACTGAATGTGTCTATGGTGCATGTTTTTTTGTTTCTTTCGTCTGTCCCAGGGTCTTCACAAGAGTGAGCTGGATGATCTGCTCAAGGCAGCATGGTCGTCAATGCTGGAGTTCAAGGAAAAAGTTTACTCTATAGCTTTCAAGGTATGTGATGATTTTTGTGGGGATTTTTCGGTTTCTAACTTCTCATCCTGATTCATTTTGATCTTAATGTGCTATCAAGGTTGGAAGTGGCGGGGTAAAGTTATTGTCCCTGAAGTTTGTTGAAGCAGTAATTCTACTTTACACTCCTGATCCCAACGGTCCTACTGAACCCCCTAACTATGAAGGTGGTAAATATATATCGTTTTTTTTTACTTTTCTGTCGTGGTTTCAGCGTAGTGGATGGTTGATTAGTGTGGAGTTGTCGTATTGTTGTGAATATGCTTAGCAGTTCCAATATATTGTAGGAGAGCATCTGGAATTTAACATATCATGGTTTCGTGGAGGGCATCCTGTATTAAATGTTGGCGACTTATCAATTGAAGCCAGCAAAAGACTTGCTTTACTGCTGGATCAACTGAGGCCTCCAACAGTGAAATCTCTCAGTAACTTGGTGATTATTGTCATTATTAACTGGTGGGTATCCTTGTCTGATTATGCCTTTCTGGAACTCTAGATGATCACTTCTAATTTATGTGCAAGTTATGAGTACTGTTGATGTATATACTGGTGATATTAGTTAGTTACTTGATTTGTTTCTCTTCCTGTTTTTGTTCCCTGCAGTCTTGCCTCCATAGCAAAGCAGAGACCCTTGTATTATGGGCGGATCTTGCCTGTCTTACTTGGTTTGGACCCATCTAACTCTGCTATCAAAGGGATGCATGCTCCCGGAGCAAAGCTTGCTCTGAAGAATGGCTTCCTGACCTGCTTAAAATGTACCCACCCAGGTGCTGCACCGGTATGTTCAAAGAAAAGTATTTTCTTATTATCATTTGGTCTTCCATTCCTCTATTGTGTTAAAATTTTTATTGTTGCATATTTAAATGGTAGTTTTAGTTGTTAAATGAACATAGATTGATGTGCCTATGGTTGTTGTAAAACCGTATAGAGAAAATAGGTATTGAATTCTGAAGAAATAGTGGAAATTAGGGTTTTTGGTAGGTAGGATGGTGGAAGAACCACACACCACCAGTTTGTGAAAAGGTCATGTAGCTTGGTCTTGCCAGCCCAACGTTGATAAGCCTAAGAAATCACTAGGAATGACTGAAAATTGTATCGGATCTGATGTTACATAACTCCTACTACAACTAGGAAACAAAAGAAAAACTCCTCTTAGAGAAAAAGAAAAAAAGAAACTAAAACCTCCTAATTATTGAAAGACACTAAACTAGTAGGGACATCCTCTCATCCAAATCCTTGATGGAAAAGGATTCTTATATGAAAACCTCAATTCTGAAATTTTGCATCTTTCTCAAGTCTGGAAAGCTCTTTAAGATGGTAACCGCTTTAAGCCGCTACATCCTAGGGCCATTTTATGTGTTATCTCACCTAGATTCCCATCATAGATTGTTAGCTGCGATGGTTGGAGTGAGTTTGATGGTTCTTGTGAGACTACCTTGATTTTTCTGGCCTGCTGCTAAATTTTCAGGTCGTTTGGAGTAAAAAAGATTTGGGTCTTGGATTCGGTGAATCCATGGATTTTGCAGAATGTTTTGTTATTTTTGTTACTTTTTGTATCGTGGATTTTACTTCAAAAATTTCAAATATCTAAAAGATAGAGATATAAAATCCATCATAATTAAAGAGCTTGACTTTTCCCCCCTCCTACTTCATCTCTTTCTTTTTTCTATTCTTACCAAAAATACCCTTACCAAGGAATTGTCAATATTTCTCGAGCCACATTGATTCTTTTGATTAAGGGTAAACATGTCATTTGATAAAAAATGTCATCAAACAATGAACATTTAAAAAAAATCAACAATTTCGAGAGTTTATATCTTTGGATTGTTTATAATCTATAGATTCTAATTCTAATTCCCCTAACAACCGCTTCATGAGTGCTGTGTAGGGGCTTGCCTCGTAGCCATCGGACCTATTTTGATAATCTACTTCATGTATTTCATTTAGGTATTAGTTCTTTTATTGGAATATTGTTAAGATACCTCCAAACCACTAATGTCGTCCTCCATATTCTAGTGGCGGGATCGTTTAGTTGGTGCCCTAAGAGTAATGAAAGTAGAAGGATTATCGGAGGATGTTTTACATCAAATGCGTAAGAGCAATGGAAGTGTTCCTGTGGAAAAAGAAGATTTGATTGTCAAGAAGGTATTTCTTCTATCCTTTTGAATGCCAAAAATGTGCTCTATTTTACATGATTCAGTAGATGTGAGAGTACCGGAGTTCCTTACTGTATTTTTCTGTAGGAAGGTAAGCATTCAGTTGAGTCATTTGATGACGGCATATGTAATAAATTGGAGAAAAAAAGATCTGGAGCAGATGACAGTACAGATTCAGCTGATAGTGGTGAAGTTTCTAGAAAGCGTGCCAAATCAACTGCTACTTCAGTGACTGAACCAAAGAATGAGCCAACCTGGAATAAAGTGATCCCTCATGAGAACAGCCCTTCACATGAGGCTCCCTCTGACAAAGGAGATAATGATAGTGGACCTGTGCAACAACTTGTTTCCATGTTTGGAGCCTTGGTAGCGCAAGGTGAAAAGGCTGTTGGTTCTTTGGAGATACTCATTTCTAGCATATCTGCCGACTTGCTAGCTGATGTAGTAATGGCAAACATGCGCCTCCTCCCTCATTCTCGGCCTCAAATGGAAGGAGACGATGAACCTGTGGCAAACATTACTGTTGTTGGCAGTAGCACTGATGCCAAGTATCCGGCCTCCTTTTTAGCTGATGTTGTTTCCCTTTCTACCTCTTTTCCATCAATACTTTCACAACTAAGAACCCTTGAGGCTACTTCAGATGAGTTAATGGTATAGCTCCATGTACTTCCCTTCGTTTAGTATCGGATGTTTGGCACAATCCTGATAGAATGTGTTTTCCCCCTACATAAAACATTTCTCTTGTTCCCTTTTTCAAAAGTGAAATGGTTTTGTTTTATTTTGTCATACTTACATCGGAGCTGTTCTCTATAAACTGCAGACATCTCCAAGAGAGGAAGAAGTGCAAATATCTGGTGGAAGTGATGATCAAACAGATGATGAAATATTGCCTACTGTCTTACCGGATTCTTCAGTGGGTATACCTGGAATGGAGACAGATTGTCTACCAATTTCTTCTGATCTTCATGAGGTTGAGAATTCAGAGAGTGAGATACCTGGCTTAGACTCTTCTGCACAAAATAATACGGTTTCTGAGGACATGGGTGCATCTTCACTTGTCTCTAATGACATAGAAGCTGCTACTCAAGAGCAAGCTGCAAGTTCTGGTGCTACATCAATGTTAGATTTGCATCCATCAGTATCAACTGAGAAGTCAGAGGAACTAAGCCCGAAAGCAGCCATTAATGATTCCAATAGCGTTATTTCTTCAATGCCAGTGCCTGCATCTTTCCCTAGTAAACTTGTCCTACCTAAGATGGCAGCTCCAGTGGTTGACCTTGCTGATGATGAGAAAGATCAACTGCAAACTTTGGCATTTACCCGTATTATTGAGGCATATAAACTGATAGACCTTTCTGGGTCATCTCAAGTGCGCCTTTCCTTACTTGCTTGTCTAGGAGTTGAGGTATTGGTTCTGTCTTTCTCAAATCGTTCCATTACAGTCTTGTTGGTGGTTGCGGTGG